TAATAAATATAACAAAAACATCAAGATCATGGATGATGAGAATATTGAAACACCAACTTCGAAATCTATTCCAAGTTTAATAATTTCTTTAAACCATCATTTTGTTCCTTAATCTTAATCATCTCATTAGTAATTTTGGTTAAAGCGGTGTGTTTTGATAAATTTGGTAACCCATCTTTGTTAATTTGCTTTCTTTTTGATTTTCCCTTCGAGTTATCAACTTTTACATCGGTATAATCGTCAATATTAGTGATAAGACGTAAACATCTTTCGTATGCCAATTTGCATTGCTGCCTTCTCTTTTTCTCAGAAAGAGAGTGGTTGAGACGCTTTTGTTCTACTGTCAATAAAGGCTTGTGGCAGGATCTCTTGCGCTTTTTCGCTCCCGGAGAACCAGCTTGAGGAGTCGATAATTCACTACTAAATGAATCTTGATCCATTTCGTGATCAGAAACGACGTTGAATGATGTAGACGATTGCCTACTATCCATTGGTGTAGGTAATTGGCACGCATCGGGAGTTGTTAAGTTTTTTAACGAAGGATGACCGAATGCGTCAGCTAATACTTTCTTGCTGTTGTTTATTACGCCGTGTGTATCATGGCCGATCATTTGGGGATCGCTCGGAGATATTGAATGTTGGGGTGGTGTTGGCATAGGCATAGTAGGAGCTTTCATGGTATGCAACTCAAAGACAGGGAAATCATGCTGATAATTTGATTGACCGTCGTTGTACATATGCATTGGGTTAGCAGACCCATTCGAGTTTGCTAAGTTGTCCAAAAACTTTTCTAACGCATTAGACTCATTATTCGAAAAAAACTGATCAAACTCATCTCTAGGTTCATCTCTTGGTTGTGATTCTAACATCTTCGATGACTCGCGTCCATATCCTGGTTTCATCTTTTCCACCTGTTCGTACTGGCCAATCCCAGTACAATATTGCTGGTTCAACATCTGCACCTTCTGCAACTGGTCCATCACGTTCAACGCCTTCTTCTGTTGTAATGTCGAATACATGGTATATGTTTGCTCAAAATCCATGTCATTAAAATCCATATTCTTATAGCTCATTTCAAATGTATCGCTATCGTTATCGTCAACTTCAGGTGTATCTATTTTATCAATACCGTATATATGTTCATAAGTTTTGTCGCCAATATTATCGACTTCTCCACTGTTACTTTCATTCATCTTAACATACGAAGATATCCTGTTATATTTATATATTTCCTCGATGGTTACCTGAATTATGTAAAGACCAAATTTAAACTCTTGTTTCCAATTTGTGCATACTACCCTCCTATGTGCTGGACTACTATAAACTAGTTAGCATAGTTAAGATTCGCATTGGAAAAATTTTGTACAGGTTTCGGCGGATTTAACGGCTTTATCCCCTCAGGTTAATCGGTTAATATTGGGCGGATTTAATGTATAGTTGATGCTACAGGCTAGAAATTGCATATAATACCACATACGATCAGTGTTATCCGGAGTTTCTGCATTGTATATAGGCCTAATAGGGGCATTGCAGAGAAATCGGGCTGATGGAGCTTACCAAAATAGAAAGACTTCCCACAGGCGACCGCGTTGATGTGTTCTTTTACATGTCGCGCGGCTCCGAAGGAGGGGCATAACTTGTAAATCGACTAGAGGCCTCGGTTTCAAACAAAAAGTGAAGAAGTTTAGACTGGGAAATTACGGGAATATGCACGCGGGCTGCAAATATCGGAATCATGGAAGCTTCAGTAGAGAATCTAATAATACGGCAAAGAGAATAGAATTTGGGGTATAACCAGAGGCTGTATGAAGATAAGAGTTACAAGAGTGATTATAATAGGCCAGAATTGAATAGCTTGTAACAAAGAGCCTCGTAACAAAGACCGTTTGAGACAAGTAGGGTTCAAAGTCGATAAATAGAATGTTGAACCTAGCGCGAAGTGGGAAAGAGAGGCAAAGTGTAAATGGGACTTGCTAAGAAGGGCTGAGGGCTAACTGGAGGATTGAAGATTTGGAACGTAAACGCAAAACATTATTTTCTTGCCATGCATGCAATAGCAAGTGAATAGACTCATTTAACATGGTGAAAAGCAGCAACGACGGAGTTGACCTAAGTGTATGATAGATAGTATGTAGGTTGAACCACACAAAATATGGCTTGGTTGCTGACATCACCTTTAGACGATTAACGGTTGCGAACTTAGTGAAGTACACGGCCGGGGTTGGATAGATAAACTAAAGAAGATTTCTGCAAGCAAAAATTGGGGTACTTTTCTTTATTTTTTGATGTAAGAACAGGCTTAGAAAAGATCGGGTGCTCTAACCTGTAAAAAGTTGATAACAAGAAGTTTGAGGCCTCGGTCGTTTCAAATTAATTAGAGCAATTCGAAAATATTCCATTAGGCCGTACATTGCGAGAAGAAAAATTCGGGGTACATTAAGTAGAAGTCATAGAGGCCGATCCCTACAGAACTCGTTTCTGATTGCATGGAGATTTGCTGAAATAGGCCTTCAGTGATATGCCCTAACCGGTAGTTGAATTTGGTTTTTCTTGCATACATAGAGAAGAAACCATTCTGGTATTTACACAAAGTGACCGGAGTCAAATACATCATCCTCGTACGACTGCAAGTGTTTTCAGTCACCACTAATTCATGATTTTGAAAATACATCGTATATTGTAAAGCTTTAAACTATATATCCAATTGTCATTAAAACAAGTCTATCTAAGTGTATCGTCACTGGTCAAAATTTCAAGTACAATGGGTCCTTTACTTGAACCTTACACAGTTTCTTAAGACCCACATCTAGGTTATCTATCTCCTCAATAATCTTCAACTTAGCTTCATTACTCATAACCACTGGATAGTCTGTTTGTTCAAAGCTGTTCTTATTCAAGAAAGTAGAAACATCAATCAAATTATCGTTTAGTTCGTTGACTATAACGTTCAATTCGTTCTGCCGTTGTTGTTGCTTTAAAAGCTCTTCTTGGTAATTTTCATCGCTATATATACCATGACCTAGTAATGATGTGGTTTCATTGATTTCATCATCTTCTTCTTCACCTCTTAAACATGAAAGACAAACCCCCATGTTTGCTCATGTCAACTAATTAATAGGTTCTTCTTATCGTTCGAATTTTATTCATTAAATTTTGTCGGTACGTACACGATAATGAATAAATAATAGCATAGTAAAAATCTACCACAGAGCCTTCATACTATATGGCACCCATATACATATATATTCATATATATAAACAAGACCTGGTGATCTTAAAGGATACGTATAAGAATCTCCACTTCTTGATAATTAAAAGCTGATAAACCATTCTATAACCCGATTTCAGGTATGGATGTATTCATTTCCTGTTAATCACGTGATCTTATCATATTTTATGCAATTTATCCCTTACTATCATTCAAAGATTAAAGGCAATAGCCATGTCAAAGTCGTTGTGTTGTTTAGCATTTGAAACATTACATAGCAAACTATTTACAGATTCAGTAAGTATCTCTTATGATAAATTTAAAAGCGTAGTACCTTCCGCTGTTGAGTTGCCTCTTAAAGCCCCATTATTCATAACATGGAACAAGAATGAACAGTTAAGAGGATGCATAGGAACTTTTCAACCATTGAAGGTCGAATCAGGAACAAAAAGGTTTTCTCTCACTTCATCTTTACAAGATCCAAGGTTCCCTCCTATTGGTAAACTTGAGTTTCATCTATTATCGGTTTCAGTAACGCTATTAGATAATTTTGAACCAATTAAAGACTGGGATGATTGGACTGTGGGTGACCACGGGTTGAAGGTCAACTTCCATAAGAATGGCGAAATCTATCTGGGGACTTTCTTGCCCAGTGTTGCTGTGGAACAAGAGTGGGATAAAATTACTACTCTTACTTATCTCTTGAAAAAAGCTGATTACACAGGAGTTTCGAAGTCAAAAACGGCTGAATTCTATCAAACAGGTATTGAAGAAGGTTGGTTGGAACTAGTTAGATATGAGGGTTTAAAGGAATGTTTAGGTTATAACGAATTTATGGAACTTAGAAATTCTATTAAATAGTATGGGTATATTTAATATATAAGAAATCAAGTTTGGATTTTGAATGCGTGAACCAAGGTATATAGGAAGCTTCCACTTAATACAGGAATTGTAAAGTTATCATCCATACCCCATAAATCAATAAATTCTGAAATACTAGAAATCAAACCACAAGCAATTGCGAAACAATGGATATTTAAAGTAGATGTTTGAGGACTCCACATAATATCATTTGGTAAATCGACTAAATAATGATATTTGGGAATCATATGACCATACATCAAATAGCAGCAACTTACTCCTGTTGCAAAGCTTGCCATACTTCCTGCTAATGATTTATTAGCACTCAATTTTGGAGTATATTTTCCAAACTCTCTACCTATGAGGGAAGCTGAAGTATCTCCCCAACTCAATAATAAATTACACATCAAGCATATATCTTTAGGTAATAATGAAGAAGTTATTATTATGCCAATTAAAAAGAAAAGAATTCCATTGTAACTGTTTTGTTCGCTTTCTCTCATCATTGACGAGTATAATTTAATTAACTTATTGTTTACACTAGGCACCCTAAATCTTATGAAATCTTGCATAAAACATGTAATAGCCATTAAAGACATTGGTTGTACTAACTGGCGTTGATTATATCCATTTACATATAGCCAAAGTGTAAAAAATCCTGTGAAGGAATGGAATGCTTTTCTGGGTATTTCATGCTTTTTCATGAACGATTTTTCTCCTTTGGGGCTTTCTTGAATAAACACTCCACCTTCATCAACATACTCAATTACTTGTTCTTCTTCTGAACTATCTTCTGAGACATCACTTTCAAATTTTTTACTCTTTATGTTATAAAATGTTTTTTCATCTTTAACCAGCTTATGTCTAAATTGAAGATTTGAAGTAATAGGTGCCACGCTTGTCATTATCATTTTGTAGTCTAAGTATAATGAAACCTACTAAAAGTTGTGCAATATTGGTACCTTTTATACATCAACTTGTTTCGATATTATCTTATGCATGTGTCTATTATTCTTTCTTTATCAATATTATATCTCCGCATAATTGCAAAAGAACATGCGCGTTCTATCTCAGAGAAGGCTATTTTTTTTTTCATAAATTTGTATCATTTTCTTTCCTATCCGGCCCTTTAAATATGTTGCTTGTCGGCTCAAACAAGAAGAAGTCTCTACTAATTTATTGAATGTATCCTTGTAGATGATCGTCTCAGGTCAATACTTTCTATCAGACAGGGAGGGGGAGTAAAAATGCCAAGTACTTTCAATTTTAAGCCGCGCATATGGAACTTTACTGAAGAAGGAAATGATCTGCTTGCTATAAAACTTTACGACGACCAAGTATCTGAAAATCAATAACAAAGC